ATGTATGGATGTATGGATGGATGTATGGATGGATGTATGGATGGATGGTTGGATGGACAACAGATTCTTGCATAATCAATATGCCCCGTTGCCTTCAGCTGCTTTTAATTTCCCGGTCATCAGAAAAGCTCTTTCCTCATTTTTGCATTCTTTTCAACCTTCATAATTCAGCTCCCAAATACTTTTCCATGTATTTTTTGTTCTACATTTCTGGGACAAAACATCCTATTCTTCTGATTGTTTATTTTCTTTCATGTCTTTGTTACTTTTCTATGTTTGCACTGCATTTCTGTCGCAAACCAACAAGGCTTTCTTCAATGCCAGCTTCTGATCATGACACCATCCTCTTCTTCTCCATCACTCCTTTCTCTCTCTCTCCTCAGAACCCCCCCCCCCCCCCACACACAACTCCCCTACCATACTTGAGTTTTTTCTACACACCTTTGCAGTAAAATAAATAACTCATGAAGTTCAGATCCTAAAAATTAAGTGTGTGAGAACATGGAAGAGGCGGTCGATGACATCCTTCACCTCTCCTCTTGCATCCACTCTCCCTCTCTCCCCTCCTCTCTTTCCCTCGCACTCGTGCACAGACACCCCCCTCCCCCTCACAGAAGTAGATAGTGAGCAGCGAGGAGCAGAAGGATCTGGGAGGCAGGAGGGCTGCTGACTGAACAAAGCCAGGGAAGGGAGCGTGCAGTCCTGGAGTGAAGATCAGCCGGGAAATGCCTTGACGGAAGCCTGCCAGGTTCTCCTCCTGCAAGAGACCTGAAGGTAAGCCTCCAGTGACGGAGAGATTCCAAAAGAACAAGAAACAGAGAGAATTGGGGGGGCTTTCAAAGCTGCTGATGCACGATACGACCGTGGCATCCCATCCAGTCTGCTCTCTTACAATGGACTGCAGCTGCAGAGTCAGAAATGTGGAGTGGCTTTATTGGAGGAGAAGTGAGCATCACCTCATGAGAGGAGATCAAAACTAAGAGAGTCAAATGAGAAAAGGACAAACGGACAGAGAAGACGTGGTAAAGCCAGGTAGCTGAGGAGGTAGAGAGCAGGAGACAGAAAGTGTTGGAGAGACAAGTGGCTCCATCACTTCCAGCCTTATCATCCCATCTTCCACCTTCATGTTTTGTCACTGCAGAGCCACACATAGAGCCATACATCATCACTGTGCCGGCTCTCATGCAGCGGCAGGTAATCAGGAAGGCAAGCTCTGACGCAAGCACAGAGGCTTCTATCAACAGTCCTGCTGTTTGTGCCGCGTAATTCTGTCGCCTCAATGCAGGAGTTTAAGGAGCGCAGCAGCAGTGTCAGCCCTACACTGAAAGTGTATGTTACTGTAAGGGACTGCATGTGTCTGAGGAGGAGGAGGAGAGGGAGGAGGAGTAGAGGGAGGAATCTTCTATACTGTACCACCACACAGAGCAGCATGCTTTGTCTCCATAAGCAGGAGAGAAAGTAACAAAAACGCTGTGGCAGAACATTTAGAGAATCTAATAGATACAAACGAGACAGGTCCTGAATCTCTCATGTCTCCTGCTTTATTGTCTCATGTCAACGGTTTTGTTGTTACTTACTGTTTTAATGTTTTATTTTTGTTGCTTCATGTCTCATGTCTACTTTTTTAATGTTTCATGTCTACTGTTTTAATGTTTCATTTATGTTGCTTC